CAAGATCATAAATCACACTCTAGGATTCAAAATTCAGCATACAGATTTCTGAATGTCCTCCCCCTGGCCTTACCTGATAAATGCTTTCTAAACCCAGGCTTTCTTGAATTAACATGCACATCAGTTTGAGGAATATAGGACTTTGTTTTACTGAAAAGTCTCTGCCAGCTCAGTTTTCGCTTTTGACTACCTGAAAGGAGAAAGTTGATAGCAAATTAAGGGCCATTGTCTTGAAGGGTGCTGACTGTAGTTACTTGCATCACAGGTTAAGTTTCTGTTTTGGTTGGTTTGGGCATCAGAACTGTAATCTACGTATCACAAAATGAACTGAAATCTTGGCACATGTCAGATAAAGGTTAAAACTACAGCCAGGCCACATTGCTTAAGTCAGAAAGGTCACCTTTCTATTTATAGGAACTAGATAATTTTCAGATTTCTCATTGAACTATACAGATAAGTAAATAATATCGCTTTATTATTCAGTGAACTAAAAGCTAGCTAGCTTTGCTCTATAATCCTTTTTGAAAAGTGAGAAAAAAATTTTCTTCTGTGTTTGCAGACTGCCAGTTCTTTATGCAAAATATAATGCAGTTGAATAAAAAAGTTAATGGAAGGTTTTATTTATACTAAAAATGAATGTAATTGTTTCTGAAGGGACTTCTTCCTTTTTGCTCTTGATCCCTATAATAACGTAAGTGAAAGAACAAAGTGTGAAAGCTGGGCCTGGACTCTGCTCAAAAGAACCATTGAAAGAATATTTCAAAGAAGATCCACACATAAATGGTTATAAAATCTGTACAGGTGCAGGATTTTGAAGTTACAGCATCAAAGTGTGAAAAGGATAAGAAAAAAGATTGATATCTTAGGCCTCAGAAATGCAGATCTTTGTTCAAAATAGTAATATGTCAAGGAGTTAAATTAACGTGAGCAGAAACGACTAATAGCCCTCTCATAAATTTTGATCATGGCCATTTGAATGGGTTAGTTACTTCAGCACTGCAGAAAGCAACCTTCTGCTCTAGCATGATATATACACCTGCTCACCTCTTTAAGTTACTTTTAAAAGTAAAAATTTATGTTTCAGCCTTTAGCAAAATTAAGATATTTAGGTCATGGGGGAGGGATGAAGTTGAGAGAGTTCATTTTTTTCCACATTTTCTTTAGCAGTATATGTTTTCCCAAGTTCCATTTTCAACTATAATTTTTAATATAAATTATTTTGTTCAGTTGGGTGGAGTTATACATTGAAGAAAAATCTTTGTTGGGTAGTTTTTAATTACTTCTCGAAATATAGGTTGCATTTTATTTCCTTCTCCTGTCCCATTCACTTAACATTCCACATTTCAGAGGCCTCTTTCCCCCATTTAATTCCTTTTCAGGAGAAAAGCTGAGAGGCTTTTTCTGAGAGCTACTCAGCCTTTCGTAAGAATTTGGGAATGTTTTTTACTAAGCTCTGATAAGATGAAGAGAAAGCCTTCCTCCTCCTGAAACTTATCTTTCCTTTTTTCTTGGCATTGCTGGGTTCAGGGGAATAGGCAGGAGGTGGGTGAGCGGGGAGTTGCCAGCATTAGGAGTTGTCTGAGATCCCCCCCGAAAAATGCATCTTAGAAATTTGCATTAATGGCTGATGATACTAAACTACAGCTTTCTGGAATCAAGGTCTGTGTTCGTGAATTTTTTCACATCTCCTAGAACTAAACTAATATAAATTATATACCTACAAAAAATACACACATCATAAATATACAGCTCAGTGAATTTTCAAAAATTGAACATTTGCATTAGCAGAATCCAGATGAAGAAACAGAACAGAGATGAAAACAGAAAGAAGGCCTCTCCTCCCCACTCTTGGGACTTCCTGCCCTGAAACAAACATATTAATTACTCTATATTGCTTGTTTTTTTTTTAGGGAATATGAGCATAATATCTTTTTCTTTTTTTTGTATTTGCAAGTAGATTTCATATGTTTAAAACAAGATTTAAGATTGCCGACAAAGATATATACCACATAAGATTAGTAAAAATCATTACATGCTGAAGAGATTTGAAGTAGAAGAAAAATATTAATAAGAAAGTAAGGTAAACCAAGTATGACATCCAAAATGCACGTCATTTTCTGTATGCTGTCTAAAGCTGTACTATACAATTGGTAGCCACTAGCCACATGTAGCCATTTAAATTTAAAACTTAAGTTAATTAAAATTAAATAAAATTGAAAATTCACTATATACATTTCAAGCATTCAGGTGGCTACTATATATATACAGAAAATTTCTGTCATCACAGAAAGTCTATTGAACAATGTTCTAGAAGTAGGCCCCAAATTTGACTTTGAGTTTTCCAGCAGCAAAAGCAAAATGGAAAATCATCAGTGATATGATTTAGAGTCTGTGAGCTAAAAATAAACCAGATGCACGGTATTGCTGGTTTTGAGTCCTGATAGCAGTGTTCCCTGACCTTCTCACGTTCCTGGTGGTGTCAACAGCCCACCATCAACTGTACCTCTACAACAACTACAAAGCCTCACGGGCTTTTTCTTATATAGTGCCTGTGATGTGGGCCAGGGCGCCCAGCCAAGTGTTAGCACAGGAAAGTCACTGCACAGAAGGAGGCTGGGCGAAACAAGGTGGTCCTGCTTGCAGCTCCTGGGGGTTTAGCTTAATCCTAGAGGGAGGGATAATCTCCCAAAATATGTTTCTCACAGCCAAGCTTTCAGTAGTGACAATGAGCTTGGCATTTTTATTCCCAACCAAGTGCCTGGGGTAGACCTGTTCCGTGTAGCTGGTAAAGGACAGAGTTATATGCCCTGTGACTTAGCCAAGCTGGGGTATGTATTGGCATATTCTTAGAGAACCCTGAGGAGACTGACAAGGACATGGGCCTGAACTGAAGGCCACCCTACTCGTTTGGAGGCCTGCCATGGATATGCCTGGGCAGGGTCAAAGCGCTCCTTAAGAATGATTTGGGGTTCACCCAAACACACAGACAAAAGCACAGTTGAGGATCCAAAGCTCGATTCCACAGAGAAAATGTGGCCTCAGTTTTAGGTTAGAAAATGTTGAGAGCAGGTTGCTCCATGTCTTCACAGTAGCAAGGTGATTTAATAATGGTATTTAGGTCTATAGAAGACTTCTCCCACAGGATATAGTCACTGGCTGTTCTTTGTGCCCTCATAAGGCAGAAGAGGAAATGAGTTTTTAAAAAGGTTTTTAATTAAGAAGTAAAAGGCAAGAAATCCTGACACAAAGGATTGTTACCAATTGAAAGAGTTACCAGGCTCAGTCTCTGGGATTGTCTTCACTGGAGAACTTTTAAGATCTCATCCACACCACTGGTTTAATTGTCTTCTTCATGCAGGGAGGAGATTGACTGGGAGGTCAGTCCTAGAATACCAGGGACATAGGCGCTGTGAGGACAGGGAGAGGGATGCTTATGAGGATGCAGTTGAGGGGCTGAGTTGGCCCCAGAGACTTAAAAAATGTTTAATTATGGTAACACACATAACAATAAAATTTACCATCTTAACCATTTTTTAAATGTAATTTAAGTGGTGTTAAGTACATTTATATTGTTGTTCAACTGTCACCACCATCCATCTTGGAATTCCTTTCATCTTTCAAGACTGAAACATACCTATTAAACAATAACTCTTCATTCTCTCCTCCCCTGTGGCCCTGGCAACCTCTATTCTACTTCCTATCTCTATGAATTTGACTACGTACCTCATATAAGTCTTTTCGTGACTGGCTTATTTCACTTAGCATAATGTCCTCAAGGTTCATCCATGTTATAGCATGTGTCAGAATTTCCTTCTTTTTTAATTAAGGCTAAATAATATTCCACAGAACATACCACAGTTCTTTTATCCATTCTTCTGTTGATGGACACTTGAGTTGCTTTCACCTTTGCGCTATTGTAAATAATGCTGCTATATGAACATGGGTGAGAAAATATCTCTTCAAGTTTCTGCTTTTATTTCTTTTGGGTATATACCCAGAAGTGCAGTTGCTGGCTTATATGGTAATTCTCTGATTAATTTTTTGAGGAGAGGATCTGCCACACTTTTCCACAGCGGCCATATCATTTTACATTTCCAGCAACAATGCAAAGGGTGAAACTTGTTTTTTAAGGAAGCTAGAAAGGCTTTCTCTTTGTGAGGTACAGTTCATCATTTCCTACACTAGGAGGTACAGAGGGTGATGGTAGTTAGAGCAAACATTGAAATGGGGCTTAT